AATTAGTCATCCATGTGGACTTCTAATTGATTTGTACAACCACACTTCTTGTATTCTTTCAGTGAATTAATCGAATATAAAAACGGTCCAGATTTCATCCAACCTTGAAAGTGCTTCGTTAAGATTAATTATTAATTAAACAAATGGATGATTATGTAGTCTGCGCACTTTAGGATATCCAACATAAGCACATTCTGTTCCATCATTCTTTAACTTTTTATGTGAAGTGTATATAATTGAAAATGCTTGTCTATAATCGTATTATAGATTATAGATATATAAGAGAGGGGAATAGCTTGAAATTTGAATTGAGTTTTGTACTTCAACGTTTCATCTAGTGGTTCACATTAATCAATTATTTAATACCCATTATCCTTCCCCCGTTAACTTCTTATTTTCTTTTTATAGCACTCTCAAATATTATTCTCTCAGAGTAATTTATCTCTAATTTCCACCATATATCTTTCATTTTTTAACTACTCATTGTAATTTCTTTCGCCTGCACATTTTTTTTACAGTTTTGTACTTATTTCTTTTAAAAAATGAAACATTTCATTGTTTTTTTTTTTTTTTTTTTCCCTTTTTAAATATGACTTTCATAAATGCTGTTGTTTTTCTAGCATCATCAGTGTAATAGTTTTTTCTCAAATGCGACATTATTTAAGTATCGTTATACTTATCTTATCCATACTCTCCCTAAAAGGGAGAATAAGTTTCGGGGCAGGGGTGCGTTTCGTTGCTCCCCACGTTTCATTCCTCAAGTTTTTTTTTTTTTTTTTTTTTAACTTTTTTAGGTTTTTTTACTTTTTATTTTTCTTTTCTTCTTTTTCCTCCTTCGTCTTCTTTTACTACATCTTTTTCCTCCTTTATTTTTTTATTGCATCTTTTAATCCTTGCTTTTTATATATTTTTAAATATATCTCCTTTAAATACTTTTTTACAGTTATTTAAAAAAATTTTAATTACTTTTTTAATTTATTTTATTTTTAAATGTGTTCTTTTATAAATATATTTTACCTCTGATCCTAAGTTGTGAAACATTTTGTAAAAGTTTTTTTCTTCTTTTTTGTCTATTTTCCTGTCTTTTGGTTCAGATCTCTTTTATATTGTTGTCTTTATTTATTTTATCCTTCTTTTTCTTCTTTTTTTTTTCAACAATTTATATAACTATTATTTTAAATGTGTTGCGCGCGTTTTTTACTAGTATCTATATAAAATCCATGATCCTTAAATTAATATATCTGACCAGAAACATATTAAATTATCCAAGTGAGTTACCACCACCTCTAATCAGTTCGGTTGCCCAAGTCAAGTGGTTCTCTACTTGAACAAAAAACCAGGGGTGAGCTAAAACCGAGTAGGAATATTGTTTAATTCATTTAATCTTTGTCAAGTTGAAACTTTCGGAGTTGATCTTCATTTGATGAGTGACAAAGAGTTAGATCATGACAAGAGTTCGGGTTTGGCGGTTCCAGCGGTGAGCTTCCTCGATAGCGATCTCTATTGCTTGAAAACTTGCCGGTGGCGTCCATGAAAAATGGCTAAGAGAGGTGTGACGACCCTCCTTAAGACCGTAGCTGACATTTTTAACTTGTACTTACTGGCATTTCTTAAAATTTGTGGAACATTTTTTTTTTTTATATATATAAGAAAGAATAATTTCATAACTCGTAACAATAATTTCAAAATAATGAATCACTAAATTTCTTAAAGTTTTTCTTAATTTCAATTAAGATAAAACCTTCTAGACTGAACAAATTCTAAATTTAACTTTTCTGCATTAAATCCCGAGAATGACGCTATTTCTGACGGTGTCAACTCCCGAGCTCTCATTGTACCCTTCCACTATGGGTATTTATCTTGTGACTTTAACCTAGCTGTCTGGCAATTAATGATTTTCTCTTCTTTAAAATGTCAGTGCATTTTTTTATATGCTGCTAACATCATGCTGTGTTTGAAGATTCTTGAAATTAAGATTCTCAAACTATACTTGTACTGAAAATTATTCCGCTTTAAAGTACGGTGAGAATTTATCGATCGAATTTACTTGATCGAAAATATGAACTTAACATGAAATCTGCTACAGAATTTAGGAATACAGATATTAATTTCATAAATCTTTCAGTCACATAATATTTTCTAAGAAAATTCTTGGCTTAAATAAATAAATTGTATTATTTAAAGTCTGAGATTTTTTCAGTCATTACAAGAGGTGAGAGAGATAATGAGAGAGTGAGCGACTGAAGAAAAGAAAGAGAAAAGAAAGGCTGGTTTAATAGGGTTTTAGGGCCTTGGGGCATTAGTTCTATGCCCAATACGTACTATATTATTTCATTAGACTATGCTGCCTAAGTTTCTATAATGTTGTTGAAGAAATTAGTGTACATATGGCCAATTAGATTACATTGTGTCATGACTCATGAGATAGAATTAGGTAGTATTTGGTTCATATATAAATTTCAACTACAGTTCAAATTTTTTTGTTTTGTTAAATTTTTTATTCAAACTTTATGCTTAAAAACCTATGAAAAGAAAAGACAACTTGGTTTTTTCGATCATGTGGTTAAAAAATGAGACTATGGGGATTAAAATACCCCTAAAACATCAAGTCCTTTCCTCTCTCTCAAACACACACACTTATTGCTCTCTCTCTCTCCTTTTTTGTTTTTTTATCTCACCTTCCCTAAAATCCTTTACTGTAATTTCTGTTATTTGAGGAAATTAACTTCGCCATGGTCTAATTACTAATCACAAATAATAGTTTTTGTTCTGCCTCACAAACAAGAGCCGAGAGCATGGTCCGCGTGGAACCTATCCGCGCTTTCGCCTAGCGGTATTCGGATATCAAATTTTGGCATCAAAAAGTTGACAATAGTATATTTGACATTGTTATTTTTATTTCAGTGAATAATATTATTTAAATGCTAAATTTATTTTTTATCATAGTCATTAATTTTGGAAGTTGTAAAAATAAATTTAAATTTAAAAATAATTTAAAAATGTAATGTTTCAATAATTAAATAAAAGTAAACATATTAACCGAGAGTAATCAAATGTCAAATTTGACATATACTATATTTAGTGGCAAATTTGACACAACAAATTATTCAGAATGATGTTTTAGAAGTATGAGATGTAATAAGATATTTATTAATTATTTAATAAAAGAGTTTATTCATTATTTTATGTGCATATTTGATTGAATATTTTATGAATATCACTGAAAATTTCATGAATATTTATGTAACCTTAAATGTTGTATATAAGTGTTATATGCGAGAATATAATATTTAAGGATAATAATCAGAACAATGTTCGTAATGAAGTGAATTAAAGTTCAGAATCATTAATTAAAACATTACTAATACATGTCATTCCCATTAAAATAGAATGGTGTTATCCGCACTGTCAATATGGCAAGATATTAAATGAGTGTGTTACGCATAATGAAATTATGTGGAACTAAGACACAGACACAAAATGAATTTCTGATAATTTCTATTAAGCATAGAAACTCTAATTGAGTCTATCAATGGTAATATATAAAACGATTTTAATCCTGCGTTATTAACGAACTTCTATTTATGGATTTGTGTCTTTTGATTTACTCGGTACAGATTCTGAGATGTTGAATCCTATTCTTTATATTTTGGAGACGTGATGAAGTAAGTAGCCGAGAATGTTAATATACAAGATGGAATCAATTCCTTCTTGAGAAAGAAGTAGATAAATAATTCTCTTAATGATTGATTCGGTACTTGGACTAGTAGGAGCTTCGATTCAAGAATTTGTTTCATGAATCACAGTCTATTAGAGAATCAACACTACCCAAGGATAAAGATGTAAAGAGGTTAACAGATTTCACCTAGCTCTAATTATGAATTATTTATGAAGGATTGATCTATATATAATGGTTATATCAAATGGACACTTCACAGTTTAAAATTAAATTATATCTATAATTACACGTGCAATTCTAAATTTATATTGGAGCAACTGTTCAAATTAATACAATTAATTATAGGGTTTTAATTAATTATCAATTTTATTGAAACTCAGAATTATAGGTCCATAAATTCCCACGCCGTCCTTGTAATCCTGCAAGACACTAAAGGCAAAATGAAAATTTTAAAATTATAGAATTCTAAATAGAACGCTCAAGAATAATTTAATGAGAATGAATTATGAATTATAAATTAAATAATGTGATGAATTAAATTTGAATTTTGAAACACACATGTGGAGTAGTCCACATGGTATACATGCCCAGCACTGTGAGAATCCATATGAGATTTAGTTGCTTACTTTCTATGTTATTCAATTGAACCTATCCGCGCTTTCGCCTAGCAGTATTTGGATATCAAATTTTGGCATCAAAAAGTTGACAATAATATATTTGACATGTTATTTTTATTTCAGTGAATAATATCATTTAAATGCTAAATCTATTTTTTTACCATAGTCATTAATTTTGGAAGTTGTAAAATAAATTTTAATTTTAAAATAATTTAAAAATGTAATGTTGCAATAATTAAATGAAAAGTAAACATATTAACGAATAGTAATCAAATGTCAAATTTGACATATATTGTATTTGGTGGCAAATTTGACACAACAAATTGTTGAGAATGATGTCTTAGAAGCATGAAATGTAATATGATATTTATTAATTATTTAACAAAAGAGTTTATTCATTATTTTATATGCATATATTATTGAATATTTTATGAATATCACCAAAAATTTCATAAATGAGTGTATTACACATAATGAAACTGTGTAGAACCGGGACACAAACACAATATAAATTTCTGATAATTTCCATTAAGCATAAAAATTCTAATTGAGTCTATCGTTAATCATATATAAAACAATTTTAATTTTAAGTTATTAGTAAACTTCTATTTATAAATTTATATCTTTTGATTTACTCGGTATGAATTTCGAGATGTTAAATCTTATTCTTTGTATTTTGGAAATGTGATGAAATAGGTAGCCGAAAATGTTAATATACACGATGGAATTCATTCCTTCTTGAGAAAGTAGATAAATAATTAGACTGTAGAATAGAAAAAAAAAAAAAAAATGTCTCCTTCCCTATCAATAATTTGTGCCAACCACAGGGGGAATATCCTTGTGGTGGATTTCATGCAACCTCAGAAGCTCAGCAAATACTTGTAAGTGTACAAAATTGCAACAAAAGAGCAATAACCAGTCAGTCAAATGGTGCACATTTGAGGCTTTTGTGGCCTTTTAGCTCTTCAAGATCATATCATTAAGGATGCCAACAAATTTTGGGAGTACTCTTTTTTTTTTTTTTTTAATATCTTCGTTTGAAGGACGAAAAAGAAGTTTTATTCACAAATGTTGAGCTCTCCAATCGACTGCAAAATTCTCATCACTGTCGTCATCACTGGATGACTTCTCAGGACTTGGCCTCTCTTTGACAACCTCCTTCGAGCCTTTGCTTTGCTTGGCAGACCGAGCAGTCTTCAACTCCACTTTCCTCTTCCTCAGGAGTTCCACTTTCTCCCTATAAGTCCTGAACAAATAGAAACAGAAAAAGACCAATGATAAATAAAATTGAGGCGAAAAAAGGGTGCTGCTCTTCATGGTCGCAAGTGACGCGCCGCCACACGCCTTACACTGAACAAAAACTATCTCGTAAAATAATTGGGTTCCACTCTTATGCAGTTGCTTAAATATTGCCATTTCCGTAGTGACATTTTATTTTCTGGAAAAATAAAATAAAAAAAAAGTGGAAGAGAATGCAACAAGAGCATTTCTGCTTACTAAACTCACTTTTGCTCCACAGATTCAGCCTCTTCTATCATTTCAGCAGCATCAAACTGCAGCATAATCGGAACAACAGAAAATTATTACAGCCTTTTCATTTAGATAAATGTCCTATAGTGGACTAGAAGAGTTTAATGTGTCATTGAACAGAGTATATACTATATATAAATAAACAAATAAATACATAAATAAATGTTTATATATATATATATATATGTAAATGTAAATATGTAGTGTTACCTCCTCTTCTTCGAAACGATTGTCTACCTCTTGCAAGTCCTCTTGGATCAACTTTTCAAATTCTTTGTATTCATCTCTTAACAAAAATTCAACACAAATTTACATTAACAGGCTGTTCCATGCTTGACGAGAACAGAAAATGAAGTGATAGACATGAAACAAAGAAAATCTTGTGTTCAAAATATAGTTAGCTCATAAATGTTTAGACAAAACTTGAGATAGCTGCTTTGAATTCAATAATAAAGAAATAAAAATGTAAATAACATTATCTCCGAATTCAAGGTCTATGATTGAAGACGTGAGATGAGAGTCTTCAGCTACTGGCAGGTGCATACATGCAAACTATTTATATAAACTTGATATAAATACGAATCGAATTGGACTTACTTGACATCTGGCTTAACAGGCTTTATGCCCCTCGCAAGTAAATCAGCTTCCTTATTATCGAAGAAGCCTTCTGGAAGAGCTCCCTTTGCTTGCTTTGCTTCTGAACCAGTAATCTTCAATGCTTGTGTCAGTTCTCTACCACTAGGAGTTTTATGTTTCTCAACCTCCACTTGAACAGAGTTCTTTTCTACAATTTCATTCAAAGTATCAAGTCAAGTGCAATTCCAATTTTCGACCCACAATAATACTTTAGAGATTCAAGTCTAATCCCTTCAGTACTTTCACCTTAAATAACATCACAACATGATAAACACAAAGGTGAAACAAATTCAGCGACATGCCAAGAGGCAGAACAGATAGTGCGATATCCGACCATAAAATTCAGGAAAAACAACAACAAAACTGAAAACGAAAATAAAAAGCAAGCTCATTTCAATTCCAAATTATTCCTTTAAACAGTTTTAAGAAAAAGGGGGAAAATTTCAGACCTGAGTTCGGATTTTGTTTGCCAATGTTATCGAAAAAATCTGGAGGAAGCCCTGATGAAGACAACTGAGGCCTCGGTGATTCTCTAGAGCTCTCAGGTCGTGGTTTTTGAATATCTTCAACATGTTCAGGTTTAGATTCAGGCGACGCCTTACGGGGCTCGGGTTTTGCATTGTTTCCTTTGGGTAATCCAGCTGCAGCAGCTTTGAGATTGCTTATTGCCTAATCCAACACAGCCTTCTCATTAGTACAGTACAAGATTACATATGGTCAAAAAGTTGGGAGGTAAAAAGAATAAAAACAAAATAACCAACCACCATAATCAAGCACAAACTAATATATACACACACACATACATATATAGCTATATGTATAATTCTGCAGTGAAGAAATAAGTAGTATTAGTAGTATGACATTATTGATCATCACCTCACGATGTTTACGAGACACTTGATGTGAATCCCAAAGAGACTCGGACTTTAAGACGATGTTACAGACTCTACATACCGGCTCATCAGACTCATTATACCTGTATCATATACGTATAAGTACAAAACAAGACATGAAAAGAAAAAAAAATATTCAGAAAGAGCCTTGGTTGGTTTAAAGAGAAGAGGAAATAGTAGAATACATGAACAAAAATACCAACAAACCACATTCTCAATTGCTCATCTCAGGAATTGGAATTTGAAACCTTCAAACTCAATCCATGTGATTTATAAAATTACAAACTATTACAGAATTTTGTCACTTTTGCTTTTGGAATCACAGTATTCAAACTAAATACGAAAACAGCAAAGACAAAAGTTACCTTACAAGAGGAGAATCTATACGTCGTTTTTCCTTCTTCTTGGAATTCTTCAATTTAGCGCGAAATAATGCCTTCTTCGAATCAGAATCCATTCTCCCTTTTCCTTGTAGACTCAACTCAATCCCCAAACTGAATACCTAGGGTTTTACTTTGCAAAATCCGTCCCCAATCAGAATAGAACAACTGAAGAGGAAATAAAACAACCGGATTTACATAAAGAAATCTTAAACAGAAAAAGAAAAAAAAAATAGCAAGAACAGAAAGACTCTTACCGAAGATTAGGGTGGGTTTGAGAAATTAGGATTAATGGGACCAAAGTTTTACTTTGGCAATGTTATTTGCAAAAGCAGAAAGGAAATTCAAGTTGGGGATTGCGGGTACGGTCGACCATGGAGCGAGTCTTGTACAGAGTTAGGCTAAACAGAAGGGATACTTTGATTCAGACGTTTAGATGAGAGGAAAACACAGACAGTAACAAAATTAATGATTTGATATATATATGTATATATATATATATATATATATGAAATAAACGGGTTTTAAATAAGTATATTTATTTCATAACTTAAAGTTAAGATGTGTATATAGAAAAAAATATATATTATAATAAAATTAAAATTAAATTTTTATTAGAGAATTATTGTAATAATAAAATTTGAATTATAATTTGAATTATTTTTATATTGTTTAATAATTCGAGCGATTCATTTTTTTAAGCCTCGTTCGTTTCGCTGATTCGAGTTTAGAATTCGAGTTTTACTACAGTAAAAAGCTCTCACAAACAGTCACATTTAACTTTTTTACTATAGTAAAAAACTCTCATATAAAATCATATCTCAACTTAAATTTTAAATTCGAATTAACGAAACGAACGAGGAACGTACACTCAGAGTTTCGCTTGGTGAATATATTTTTGCTTCACTTTTTAGGTTAAGTATTTTTAGGTTGTGTAATTTGCACTGTGGTCCTTAAATTCCTTCGTAATTGATCCATTTACGATATATATATATATATATATATTTTTTTTTTTTGCTGAATAAACAATAAATGAGTTTAAACATGTGAAATAGAACTTTTTAATTATTTATGCGACTATGAACTAGTCCCTTTGGTGCGTCCGTCCTTTGTGACTATAGACAGGTTTTTTAATCCTTTTGTTTTGGAGCAAAATCTGATTATGGATAGATTTGTATAGTTTTGTTTATCATTGATGAATTTAGGTGTACGAACTCTTTTCTATGTTTTGTATTGGACTTCTAATGTTCCTTTTTGAAAGAAATTATGGTCAACAAGAGACTAAATTTAAAACATTATAGAGTTCAAGATTTAAGTTTGTACACTTTTTAGTATAGAGACTAATTATAAAAAGAGAGAAAATTTTAACGATCTCTATAAATTTAACTCTTAATTTAAAGAAAACTTTTCGAAGCACCTTTGGACCTTGTAAATTACCTACTATTGTAAGTTCTAAAAGCAAATATTAATAGTAAGAGAAAATAATCTGGAAGGACATTCAAGAGTTGAAAAGGTCAAAAAATGGACCTATGGTAAATATATTTCTTAAGCCAAGCTTTTTAGGGAGATAATAACGGAGCTTGCCACAAACTTTTGGAGGGGATCGAGTAATACCACATGTGGAAAAACTTTCGACTTTTCTGCCATGTAGAAGATCAAAACTAGGACCAAAATAATAATACTTAACTGATGGATTAGCGGTGACAGGTTTAAAAGGCCAATACCTTATATTCAACTAGCGTTCCAATATATTATTTCAAGAAATCTAGTATCTAATTCAGAAAACAAAAAACTTTGAAGAATCTTTTGAACCTGCATTATCTTAATAGTACGTAAATTTTAAAAGCAAATTTATAAAACTCTAGAGAGAAAGATAATTTGGAATCATATTCAAAAATTAGAAAAAAAAAAATGGATTCACAGATTATTCTTGAACCAGGCTTAACAGGAAAAAAATAAAGTAATCAACTACAAATTATCAGGTCAATAAGTGAATCATAGTTTATTGGCTTTTACCAGTCTATTTGTGGAGCACAGATTCAAAGCACAAATTTCCGTAATCTAAATCGAAAGATTAATTTTTATTTGGGTATTCTTCAAAATCTCTCCTTAGTATTAGCTTACGCGACTTGAACATGATTATTTCTCTTTAGAAAATAGACCAAGTTTGATAGAACATTTTGCAGTAATTTTAAAGATCAATGGAATTAGCACGTTACTTTTCGAAGGTTGCTGTTGTTTATGACAAGAACCAAAGTTGTGTACAAACTTTTAAAATCTGTTGTGAAAGGTGAAAAAGAAACACTCAAACACCATCAAAAAAATCATTTTGGTCATTTTTCATTAGAAAGTAAAACTAATCATAACTCTCTTTAGAAAATATATATATACACACACATATATATATATATCATAAATGTTAGTGTGTCACACTAGGCACAACATTGACAAAGGAAATCACTAAAAAGAAAACATAGTGACACCCACCATGTTGTATTATATTGTATTGTATTATATTGTATTCTATTGTATTGTATCATATAAAATTATATTGGATTGTATAATTTTATACAATATAGTGTTTAGTTGGTAGTATTATTAAACATTATACTATTTTTACTATTGTTAGTTTGTATTAAGATAAACTTTAGGTCTAATCATAACTTAATTTGACTCTAATCTTGACCCGAACTCAACATTTAGAGGAAGCAAGAAAGAAAATAGAGTTGCTACATAGGGGTCTTTTTGCAAAGAAAATGGAAGAGGGGTCAAATTGTAATTTTTAAAAAATTAAGGGGCAAAATATAATTTTGAAAAATTTAAGGGGTGAAAATATAATTTTAAAAATTGATGGGTCAAAGCATAATTTTTAAAAAGTTTAGGGGTCAAAATATAATCTTAAAAAAAAATAAACCCATCACTCTGATCTTAAAACTTGACCCTAACGTCGGTCCCAATACCAAACCTTGAGCATTGATATTTGTGAAATATTTTATATGTTTTTAATATGATATTTTAAGTTAGATTGCATAATACATATCTTTTTTTTTCTATTAGGGCATATTTGTTTGACCGTATTAAAGCACTGTATTATATAATAATACAATAATATAATGTTTGGTGTAACTATCGTATTATATAAACTAATACGAATTGTAAATTAATACGGTCTATCTCGTATTATTGAATACAGCTCATTTTTAGCGTATTGTATTGTATTATTTTATAGTTGATCAATAATTTATGCTGGGGTTAGGCAAGACTATGGGTCGGGGTCGGGCCAACATAGCCTATACTTGTTGAAAATTTAAGGGTACAATGCAAATTTTTTATTTTTTAAAAATTACATTTTGATCCCAAAATTTTTGTAAAATTATATTTGATCCAAAATGTTTATAAAATTCCACTTTGACCCTAAAATTTTTATAAAATTTAATTGTGACCCCAAAACTTTTGAAAAATTATATTTTAACCCCAAATTTTTTCAAATTTTGCATTATGACCCCAAAATTATTAATATTTTACATTTTGACCCCTTATACCAAATTTCACATTGTATTATGAAAATACAATACTATACAACACAATACAATACACCTTATACAATACAGTACAATATAAACTACCAAACTTGACTAGATATCACACTTTGTATTGCATTAATTTTGAATCTCGTATTAAATTATGCAATGTATAAGTGTCACCAAACATGATATTATTATTAAACAATACAATACGAAGTGCTTTAAGGTGTACTAAACATGTCCTAATGTCCTTATTTAAGGGGGAGAAAGGCAGGAAAGAATTAGTCAAAATCCCAAGAACAATATAAAGTAAAAACTAGGCATATATATAAGGAATTGCAATCATTTCGCCTCAACTAGATTTCTTTTAAGCGTGTGTTTCATCAAAGAAATTGTAGCAATTCTCATTCACTTAGCGGATTCGAGTTTTCAATTTGAGTTGAGATGTGACATTTTTTAAGAGTTTTTCACTATAGCAAAAAAAATTATATGTGACATTTTTTGATAATTTTTTACTGTAGAAACCTAAAACTGAAAATTCGAATCGGTGAAATTAACGAAGCCTTAATGTTAAGAATTAGATTAAGTTAATAATTAGATGTATCGAGAGTAATAAAATTGTAAGAAAATAAATCAAGAAAACATCGACAAATAAAATTTAAAAAGATTCACTTTAAAGTGAGAGTAAGACTCTTTTAACCGATGCAGTTTTTTCATTATGATAAAAAAAAAAATGCAAGTTATAAGAAAAAGTTGCATATCTCACAACTTAACACAAAGAAAACCGATGAGGAAACCGCGTAAATCACCCAGGTGGTTACCTTGAGCAAAAAATTCAAATGAGATTGTGACGGCTATGAAGAATCCCGTCACCGAACGCACCAACTCGATCGAAATTCCAAATTCAAAAATTTTATTTATAGACAAGTATTCATCGAAGCAGCACGAGGTTTCTGCGGAAAGAGAAATATTGATATCTAGGAATTTCTAGGCACTAGAGAATTGAAATATCGATAATTTACTAAAGATGCCATTTGATTACTGATTAAAAAATTTCCTTGCTTTCATGCCGTGTTACAAGGTAAGGTTAAGTGGATGACTGTAATGGTTTGGTCTAAATAGCCATTAAAGGATCGTTCTATGTTCTTGAAAAGACATGTCGAGCTTTACATAAGTTGGTCTAAAGCTTGACATATCTTCAAGAACATAGAACGATCGTTTAATGCTGAAATAAAAAATCGAAATATCGATATATCTTCGTTGAAGGAAAAAAAAATTCTCCAAAAAGAGTTTCTCTAGTAGGTCAATTTTATCGGTAGTGTCAGTTTTTTACTGTTGAATTAGGTCAAATTCACATCAGATTTGACGGTTGAAAATAAGAACAAAATAGTACTATCGTTAGCCAACTAAAAGAATAGAGTACGTGAAATCTTGCCTACAATATAAAAAATTCAACCAGGGCTCATTGTCAAATTCACATCTTTTGCACCATTCATCTTATGAGCAAGTTATTAATTAATTGTTTCAGTGCGAAAACATATGGTCAAACATCTGAGGTTTGCCTCACATCTAACGGCTCATAATCAAGTGTATGATCATTTAAAATTAATCATTTGAATATATATATATATATATAT